GGTGTTGCCGACGTACGACAACACTTGCGACTCTAGGCCACGAGTTGTAAGCCATGATTGCTCAACTAACGAAAGTGCCAAATCCTTCGTAGGACTAATCATGGTTCTTACAGAACTCTAGAATATTTCGGAGCCCAGCTTTTGGCTGCTGAACTCAATGCATGGTCGCTTTCACGACGAGTCTGATCCGGGTCATGACAATTCCCCGGCCTCTCAAGAATCACGTCCCCGTGATCTCAACTAACATTAAAGTCAGCGAGTCGTGACGGTAACCGCCTAGCTCTCGTTGGCCAAGCCAACTGGTTCTGCACCGTAACAGGTACGGGCATAGAGTACGAAATGTGGCTCCACAGGCGGGACATTTCCATCAAAAAATTCCAACTTCAAAATGAAACTGGTACTGCCCCACTATCGTAGAGATGAGCCTGGTGCTGATGATCAACACGCAGCTTGTCATGTACAACTAAATGCACGTTGCAAATCTTCACGCAAAGCGTATACGTATGACAGTTCGCCATTTCGTGTCATCTCAGATGAATGTAGACCATAGGCCATAACGTGTGGTCGACACACCCTTCTACCACGTAGGTATCCGGTTCAGTACAAAAACTACTGCAGAGCTCCAGGAGCCATTTCATAGATTTGGTGGTATCCAACGAATCGGTTCCACCCACACTCCACCCATTACAAAAGACCTTGGCGACCTCGCCAAGACTTCCACGGTAGGGTCATTGCTGCCAGCAAGGACAGACACAATGGCATACGCCTAGTAGCCTGTGCAACAGGACCACGATCACGTGTCTCAATTGTGTGGTGTAGCACCGAAGTGCGACCAAGCTCAGATGGGTTCAAAGCGAACGCATCTCGATACCGAAGCACTAAGGCTTGCAAGCAGTGGATCTCCTCGCGGGAGATACCAGATTGTCCTCGAGAGGTTTCATTACCATCTCTTCCGACCCCCACTTCCGTGTGTTCCAGGCCCGAGTCCAGCTCGTCCACACACCTAGGCTCCAGGATCGAGTCCAGCTCGTCCAACCTACAGGCTCCAGGATCGAGTTCGTCCTCGTCCAACCTACAGGCTCCAGGGTCGAGTTCGTCCTCGCCCAACCTCAAAGGTTCCATGGATGAGTTCGTCCTCTTCCAACCTTTCCGGGGGTCCACAACCGGACATCTTGCTCCAATTCGCAACTGCTTCCAGACCCCGAGAGAGTCCTCCGTCTCAGCTATTTGAACTGATTCCTCTCTCTGGCCATCAGCCAGAGTGTCTTCGGTCACGATACTCATGACCTCAGATATTGGTGCTAACCGACCAATCTGCATTGCCCTCTCTAGAGCCACTGCCTCGTCAGAGTAATTCAACACCCGTACGGGAACACCATCCACCGTAGGGCTCACTAGCGCATGCGCCATCATGACATCATTCATTCCTTGAAAACACCCATCAGGTATCGTCAAGGCACAGGTCGGCAACCCTTCCGACTTGTCTAGCACGGCGTTAACCGTCACCTCCGAAAATGGGAGTATCACTTCACGCCTCCGCAAGCGAAGAACGTGCTCTCGTTTGCCATCACCATCATGGCTTGGCGGAACGACGTCAGCTTTAGAAGCTTTAAAATGCAATGCTCCACCACCCGAAGTGATCTCGCAAGGAATTGGGACAGCACATCGCGTCCAATGCCACAACCAGTAACCAACATCATACTCAGTACGTGACGAAACACCACAGGGTGCGGACGTCGACAGATCCGACACCAAACAGGCATCGCCCAACACAGAAGTGCGGGTTTCAGGTGGGCATCAGCTCACTAGTGATTTCCATCACACTCCAATCAAAACATTCGAGATCCGCATCAACGAACTCAAATCAGCAGTTGTTCAAGCTCTCTGCAGAACTTGTTACTGTATCATCGTTTCAGCCAGCATCTCAACTGATGCGCCCAGTTTCGAAATCTGGCTTCGTGACTCCGTCACACGACAAGGACATAGTCCTCTTGACTGTTTTTTTGAACCGTCAAAGTTCAAAAGAACAGCAACACTCCTCAACTGCAGCTGAGGGCAACGTAGAAGCTAAGCTTCATGCAGTCATCGATCCTGCCACTGCAAGACGACTCTAAAAGTCTAAAAGCATTTCGCTTCTCGAGCAGTTTCTGTGCAAGCGCTGACAAAACAGCAGAGTTTCCTCATTGCACGTCCTTGCAAGAACCTCCGTGGGTTCGAACAATGCGCCGTCTACACCGCAAATCGAGTGCAGCTGACACATATCTCAGACCAACAAGTGGTGCGGGAGTCGAAACTCTCGTCGGCGGCATGACCGACTTTCGCCAGGTCTTCCGGAACAAGTTGGCACGCCAACTGGTAGCAACGGCCACTAAACAGAACGAGTTCACGTTCCATGTGCACGCACTCAAACAGAGTGTTCAACTGAACGGACCAAGGCCAGAACAGAACAAAAACAGTTTGCTGCCGAATCCACTTGAGAACTGCATGCAGCCTCGTGAAATCGACATCAAATTCACACCTCTGCGTGCTCGAGTAAACAAGAGCTCAGAGTTCAGCATGGACCAGTGCACACCGAGTTACGACTACTCTGCCAGAGCAACAGCAAGACGCAACTTGGAGATCCTGGTCACAGCACCAAATGTCATGGCCGCGCTTGGCGGGTTTGTGACTTGGCTTAGATTTGTCTAGTGGCTACCCAGGTAGACGACCAATATAGTCGCCATCCAAGTTGCTAGCTCACACCTGTTTTCCGGCTCACACAAGGTAGTCGAAGGTTGAAGGGGAGCGATCAAAAGATTCCTTTATTAGTTGGAAGAAGGCGGCTTTTATGTGATTTTGGTTATAGTATAATTGTGATATAATAATTAGTAGGAAATATTAGTATAGCTTCGGGGAGCTCGCTCACCCACATTACATGAAAGAGTTACAACTATGAGTACTCGAGTGATGTCCGAGGTTATTCGTACGGCGATCGTGCGACGGAGCCTGGAGTACGCTGTCGGATGTTGCCGCAGCTAGAGTGCGCCGCCTTTGTACGGTGTCTTGATTGGGTCACCCTTCATCTTCTGCCCCGTAGGCTCTTCCCTCTCATTACCCCGTAGCTAGGGCGCTGCACGGTCAAGCCGCGACCTCTCCCAAAAAGGGATACCGGAGTCCGCAGTGCGCGAAACACTTGCAGGACCCTTTACGTCGTACGACGCGAGAAGAGGTGCCATGCTTGCTCGACTAACAAAGGTATCAGCTCCCTTGCAGGACTAAGCAGGGTCCCCTCAAGCTCAATAGTGTAGTGAGTACAATGCTGACGACTTGTACTGAAGGTGTTGCCGACGTACGACAACACTTGCGACTCTAGGCCACGAGTTGTAAGCCATGATTGCTCAACTAACGAAAGTGCCAAATCCTTCGTAGGACTAATCATGGTTCTTACAGAACTCTAGAATATTTCGGAGCCCAGCTTTTGGCTGCTGAACTCAATGCATGGTCGCTTTCACGACGAGTCTGATCCGGGTCATGACACATGCATGCAATGGAAAATTTGTGCTGAGTATGTCGAGTGGCCATTCGAACAGGACAAAGCCGTTGCGCAAGCTGTGACCCTGAAATTTCGTCCATTGGTAGCGAGGATAACCCTGAGCTGGAAAGTGCAAGGGATGGCATGCTACACTCCCCCGCATACGCTTGACAGCACAATTTGAGGCGTGGAGTAGTAATATACCAGTATCATACTACCCCCTGATACCTGATGCATGGACGTCGTCATCTTCATCCCGCAGATCGAAAATGTACAGGTGTCGCGTGATTTCGCGCAATGAGCCCCAATTTGTGAGATAGGTTATTTTTCAGCTTTCAGCAGCCCTGGGCGAGTTCTTTAGAGAAATGTGGCTCTTTTTCTTGGTACACTTGTCTATCATAGCCAGCAATCGCATGTCACCACGTACATTGAAAATCAACCTAATTTTGCGAATCGACCTTTTTTTCCGGATCACTTTTCAACGAGGACGAAGCAAAGTCGGCCGAACGAAGCCTAGAGGAAGATAATCACCCTCTCCACTTCACCATCACGATACTGACATAGATACGAGATGAAACAACTAAAAAATCCACAAGAAAACTGTACGGCCATCATCACTTTGGTCTGACTTTGGTCTGAGAATTTCTATCACGGTCAAAAATGTACGAGGAGCACTCAAAAATGAGCCACAGACGTACCTTTATCGCTCTCTACTCCTCAAGGCACAAAAGTCGACTCTTCACTTTCAAACCAGGAACCAGACATACCTGTGATCCTTTTCAGCTGCTCCACGAGCGCAGGAAAGGTTCACCAAGGGGCACAGAGCAGCATCCATTCCAGAAAAAGAGCTAAAATACGAGTGAGACTGCATGCCTGAGTGCATGAGTACATGTATGAGTACATGCAGAAAATAGTCAATTTCAGCGTTTCTGCTCCAAACAGCAACTAGCTTTGACTAGAAACAAAGATTACACCAAAGGATCAAACAACAACCATTTTCTGCAGTTTTTTGCAGATGGCTTCCTAGTAATTCCTTGTGCTTGGCCCAGCACGCCAAAAAATCACACCTCAGAGGAGTACAAAAATTACAACTCCCAGATGTCCTCGATTGCTGGCCATGATCCAGCTACACAAGGAGATAAGGATGGTCATTGTCTGTTACTGAGCTATTAACGGGCGGAAAAGTGAGAAAATGTCGGATTTTGACCATTTGTGCTGACCTTTGAATTTCAATGTACCTCTCTATAACATGAACCAGCTGCATTGTCAGTGGTCGCATTGTTTTGATTTTTGTTTTGCTTGTAGGGCGCTGGCACTCACATTCAGTGACCCAGAAAATTTGGCACTGCTGTGAATAGTTTAGTCGCAAAGTGAAGATTCACGGGTAAAAGCCTCAAACTGTGAGATAGGTTATTTTCAGCTTTCAGCAGCCCTGGGCGAGTTCTTTAGAGAAATGTGGCTCTTTTTCTTGGTGCACTTATCTATGTCCAGCTACAAAAGGAGATGAGGATGGTCATAGTCATTTTCTGAGCTGCGAACGGGCAGAAAGGTGAGAAAATGTCGGATTTTGACCATTTGTGCTGACCTTAGAACTTCAATGTACCTCTCTATAACATGACACAGCTGTAATGTCAGCGGTCGCATTGATTTGATTATTTTTTGGTTTGCTTGTAGGGCGCTGGCACCCACATTCAGTGACCCAGAAAATTTGACACTTCTGTGAATAGTTTAGTCGCAAAGTGAAGATTCACGGGTAAAAAGCCCCAATTTGTGAGATAGGTTATTTTTCAGCTTTCAGCAGCCCTGGGCGAGTTCTTTAGAGAAATGTGGCTGTTTTTCTTGGTGCACTTGTCTGTATTCAGCTACACAAGGAGATGAGGACGGTCATTGTCTGTTACTGAGCTATTAACGGGCGGGAAGGTGAGAAAATGTCGGATTTTGACCATTTTGCTGACCTTCGAATTTCAATGTACCTCTCTATAACATGACCCAGCTGTAATGTCAGTGGTCGCATTGATTTGATTTTTGGTTTGCTTTGAGGACGCTGGCACCCACATTCAGTGACCCAGACCATTTGGCACTGCTGTAAATAGTTTAGTCGCAAAGTGAAGATTCACGGGTAAAAAGCCCCAAACTGTGAGATAGGCTATTTTCCAGCTTTCAGCAGCCTTGGGCGAGTTCTTTAGAGAAATGTGGCTCTTTTTCTTGGTGCACTTGTCTATGCCCAGCTACACAAGGAGATGCACTTGTCTATATCCAGCTACACAAGGAGATGAGGATGATCATTGTCTGTTTCTGAGCTGCGAACGGGCAGAAACGTGAGAAAATGTCGGATTTTGACCATATGTGCTGACCGGTGAATTTCAATGTACCTCTCTATAATATGACCCAGCTGCATTGTCAGGGGTCGCATTGATTTGATTTTTGGTTTGCTTGTAGGGCGCTGGCACCCAAGCAGATGAGTATGGTCATTGTCTGTTTCTGAGCTTCGAACGGGCAGAAAGGTGGAAAAATGTCGGATTTTGACCATTTGTGCTGGCCTTTGATTTCAAAGAAAACTGTGAGATAGGTCATTGTCTGTTACTGAGCTATTAACGGGCGGAAAAGTGAGAAAATGTCGGATTTTGACCATTTGTGCTGACCTTTGAATTTCAATGTACCTCTCTATAACATGAACCAGCTGCATTGTCAGTGGTCGCATTGTTTTGATTTTTGTTTTGCTTGTAGGGCGCTGGCACTCACATTCAGTGACCCTGAAAATTTGGCACTGCTGTGAATAGTTTAGTCGCAAAGTGAAGATTCACGGGTAAAAGCCTCAAACTGTGAGATAGGTTATTTTCAGCTTTCAGCAGCCCTGGGCGAGTTCTTTAGAGAAATGTGGCTCTTTTTCTTGGTGCACTTGTCTATGTCCAGCTACAAAAGGAGATGAGGATGGTCATTGTCATTTTCTGAGCTGCGAACGGGCAGAAAGGTGAGAAAATGTCGGATTTTGACCATTTGTGCTGACCTTTGAATTTCAATGTACCTCTCTATAACATGACCCAGCTGCGTTGTCAATGGTCGAATTGATTTGATTTTTGGTTTGGTTGGAGGGCGCTGGCACCCACATTCAGTGACCCAGAAAACTTGGCACTGCTCGGTCATGTTATAGAGAGGTACATTGAAATTCAAAGGTCAGCACAACTGGTCAAAATCCGACATTTTCTAACCTTTCCGCCCGTTAATAGCTCAGTAACAGACAATGACCATCCTCATCTCCTTGGGTAGCTGGATATAGACAAGTGCACCAAGAAAAAGAGCCACATTTCTCTAAAGAACTCGCCCAGGGCTGCTGAAAGCTGAAAAATTTGGGCTTTTTACCGTTAATCTTCACTTTGTGACTAAACTATTCACAGCAGTGTCAAATGTTCTGGTTCACTGCATGTAGGTGCCAGCGCCCTCCAAGCAAACCAACAGTCAAATCGATGCGACCACTGACATTACAGCTGGGTCACTGCTGTGAATAGTTTAGTCGCAAATTGAAGATTCACGGGTAAAAGCCTCAAACTGTGAGATAGGTTATTTTCAGCTTTCAGCAGCCCTGGGCGAGTTCTTTAGAGAAATGTGGCTCTTTTTCTTGGTGCACTTGTCTATGCTCAGCTACACAAGGAGATGAGGATTGTCATTGTCTGTTTTTGAGCTGCGAACGGGCAGAAAGGTGAGAAAATGTCGGATTTTGACCATTTGTGCTGACCTTTGAATTTCAATGTACATCTCTATAACATGACCCAGCTGTGATGTCAGTGGTCGCATTGATTTGATTTTTGGTTTGCTTGGAGGGCGCTGGCACCCACATTCAGTGACCCAGAAAATTTGGCACTGCTGTGAATAGTTTAGTCGCAAAGTGAAGATTCACGGGTAAAAAGCCCCAATTTGTGAGATAGGTTATTTTTCAGCTTTCAGCAGCCCTGGGCGAGTTCTTTAGAGAAATGTGGCTCTTTTCCTTGGTACACTTGTCTATATCCAGCTCATTTTCTGAGCTGCGAACGGGCAGAAAGGTGAGAAAATGTCGGATTTTGACCATTTGTGCTGACCTTTGAATTTCAATGTACCTCTCTATAACATGACACAGCTGTAATGTCAGGGGTCGCATTGATTTGACTTTTGGTTTGGTCGGAGGGCGCTGGCACCCACATTCAGTGACCCAGAAAATTTGACACTTCTGTGAATAGTTTAGTCGCAAAGTGAAGATTCACGGGTAAAAAGCCCCAATTTGTGAGATAGGTTATTTTTCAGCTTTCAGCAGCCCTGGGCGAGTTCTTTAGAGAAATGTGGCTGTTTTTCTTGGTGCACTTGTGTATATTCAGCTACACAAGGAGATGAGGATGGTCATTGTCTGTTACTGAGCTATTAACGGGCGGAAAGGTTAGAAAATGTCGGATTTTGACCATTTGTGCTGACCTTTGAATTTCAATGTACCTCTCTATAACATGACCCAGCTGTAATGTCAGTGGTGGCATTGATTTGTTTTTTGGTTTGCTTGTAGGGCGCTGGCACCAGTGACCCACAAAATTTGACACTGCTGTGAATAGTTTAGTCGCAAAGTGAAGATTCACGGTAAAGTGAAGATTCACGGGTGAAAAGCCCCAAATTGTGAGATAGGTTATTTTCCAGCTTTCACGTCAGGCGAAATAGCACGTCATCGTACATTTGAGATCAGCGGGAAGAAGATGACGACGTCCACTAATTTAGTATCTGTGCACACGAATCTGCTGTGTGTGTGACTCTGTGTGTCAGTTATGATATCATCTTCTGTGGTTCCATGCCTAGCATGTACGTCTGAACCATCCTGCAAAGTTTGAATGACGTAGGTTGAGCGATCGCTCCGCGAAATATACTTTTTGAAATTCTCTTCATAGTATATCTTCCACCATTGAAATTTCGAATTTCTTCAAAAAAAGTGCTGAGAGGGGTGGCTTGCAACCTCGATATGGCTTGTTCCAGGTATGCTTTGGAGCCATCTTCTGTTGAAGTAGTGGCGGGGATCTGCCCTGCAACTGCTACAACAAAAAATGATTCGATCTGAGAAAGGGTGAGACCGCGAATCTCGGTTGAATATTGAGTATTTCAAGCCTTTTCACGACGAAGATGGAGTTCTTTTTGGAGATGGACGTCCCGGCAAAGGACATGGTGTCCGACGTCTGGCGTCTGGTGAAGCCAGGGATCATTTGTCCAGTCAGGTCGGCAGCCTAACCGTCGGTAAGCTTGTGTTTGGATCCCGTTCTGCTCGATGTGGTAGATCACAAACAATTTGATATCGCACAAATTGATCTCAGCATCGTGCGTACGGTATTTTATATTCAGAAAATCCCAAAGTGTCTCTGTATGGCCGTCCTATGCCACGGGAAACTCCAATCAGGCTCCTATGTCCTCTGCCTTCATGATTGAATGTCCACTTCGTTTGAACAACGAACACAACAATCGAGGACGGCCTTGCAAAGAAAAATACAGCTATACTGGAGCTGAAAAAAAGAAGAAAAAAACGTGTTCAGGATGAGACTCGAGTACACGCATACTCTCCCAGCAGGTGAAACGCAAATTTTTGTGAAAAATGCGTGACGCCGACTGACCAGTAATTTCGCCTGACGGCAGCCTTGGGCGAGTTATTTAGAGTGATGTGGCTCTTTTTCTTGGTGCACTTGTCTATGATCAGCTACACAAGGAGATGAGGATTGTCATTGTCTGTTTTTGAGCTGCGAACGGGCAGAAAGGGGAGAAAATGTCGGATTTTGACCATTTGTGCTGACCTTTGAATTTCAATGTACATCTCTATAACATGACCCAGCTGTGATGTCAGTGGTCGCATTGATTTGATTTTTGGTTTGCTTGGAGGGCGCTGGCACCCACATTCAGTGATCCAGAAAATTTGGCACTGCTGTGAATAGTTTAGTCGCAAAGTGAAGATTCACGGGTAAAAAGCCCCAGTTTGTGAGATAGGTTATTTTTCAGCTTTCAGCAGCCCTGGGCGAGTTCTTTAGAGAAATGTGGCTCTTTTCCTTGGTACACTTGTCTATATCCAGCTACACAAGGAGATGAGGATGGTCATTGTCGTTTTCTGAGCTATTAACGGGCAGAAAGGTGAGAACATGTCGGATATTGACCATTTGTGCTGACCTTTCAATTTCAATGTACCTCTCTATAACATGACCCAGCTGCATTGTCAGTGGTCGCATTGATTTGATTTTTGGTTTGCTTGGAGAGCGCTGGCACCCACATTCAGTGACCCAGAACATTTGGCACTGCTGTGGATAATTTAGTCGCAAAGTGAAGATTCACGGGTAAAAAGCCCCAAACTGTCAGAAAGGTTATTTTTCAGCTTTCAGCAGCCCTGGGCGAGTTCTTTAGAGAAATGTGGCTCTTTTTCTTGGTGCACTTTTCTATGTCCAGCTACAGAAGGAGATGAGGATGGTCATTGTCTGTTTCTGAGCTGCGAACGGGCAGAAAGGTGAGAAAATGTCGGATATTGACCATTTTTGCTGACCTTTGAATTTCAATGCACCTCTCTATAACATGACCCAGCTGCGTTGTCAATGGTCGCGTTTATTTGATTTTTGGTTTGCTTGGAGGGCGCTTGCATCCACATTCATTGACCCCGAAAATTTGGCACTGCTGTTAATATTTTCGTCGCAAAGTGAAGATTCACGGGTAAAAAGCCCCAATTTGTGAGATAGGGTTATTTTTCAGCTTGCAGCAGCCCTGCGCGAGTTCTTTAGAGAAATGTGGCTCTTTTTCTTGGTGCGCTTGTCTGTGTCCAGCTACACAAGGTGTTGTGTATGCAAGTTAGTCATTATATATCTACTACACCGTTTGCTACTGACTGCGCATGCTCGCATATGGTTGTTGTTGTTACTTTACCTGACCAAGAGGAATGTCTTACAAATGCTAGTGTTTGTGTGTGTCAGTAAGAATGCATGAGTGTAATGGAATGTTAGTCCGCAAGGGGACATAACAATTTGGCGACGAAGATAAAAGACGAAGATGTCGCGATCGAAGCTTGAAATATTTGAAAAAGGTGATTTTCGGGAGTATGTAGAGAGACTCACGTTTTATTTTATCGCCAACAGTATTGGACAAGTCGCAGCTGGGGCAACCGCGGACCAGGAGAGAGCGGCGGACACGCAAAAGGCAGCTGTCCTGATCAGTCAACTCTCTGCTGAGAACTACTCGATTCTGAAGAGTCTTTGCCTGCCGGACAAACCAGCGCAGAAAACGTTTGAGGAACTCGGAGAATTGCTTTCAGAGCACTTCAAGCCTAATGTCAGTGTGTTGGCGGCGACTCATAGATTCCAGAGGATTTGTCAAAAGGATGGAGAGTCAGCAACACAGTATGCAGCTAGACTAAAGCAAGCAGCCATGGACTGTAAGTTTCAGGCGTATTTGGACAGGGCACTCCGAGACCAGTTTGTCAGTGGGTTGAAGTCGATGAGTGTTACGAAGGAGATATTGTCGAAAGCAAAGGAGACCTCAAGTTTGGCGGACATTGTGACGATGGCATCAGCCTATGAAACTGCATCGAGAGAGTCGGAACAATTGACGGCGCAGTCCGTCCACGCCGTTCGTTCGCGCCATTCGACGAGCAAGCCAACTCCAACTTTCAAGTCGCACGACAAGAAATGTTTTCGGTGTGACAAGGCTGGTCACAAACCGGAAGAGTGCCGCTTCAAGAGTGTGAAGTGTCACGCGTGTGGTACGGTGGGTCACATCGAGAGAGCTTGCCGCAAGAAGAAGTCTGGACAAACCGTCCATCACATCGCGGAAGAAATTGGTGAGTTCGTTCCATGTGCTAGTAAACCCGATGTCACCATGTATAGTGTAAATGCAATGGGGCGACTACCGTACACTGTGTCATTAGATGTAATGGGTACCACTATCCAAATGGAGATTGATACAGGAAGTGCTGTCACGATTCTCAGCAGCGCAGATTTCTTGCAATGCAATGGTGTGCTGAGTAACCTGATGGAATCCAGTATCAACCTTGTGTCCTACTCTGGAGATGTGATTAATTGTCTCGGGGAAGCGGAAATGGAGTTCCGAATGGGCACACAATTGCACACACTATTGGTGAGGGTTACAAATGGAAACCGTCCATCTATTCTGGGCAGAGATGCAATGGCTTTGTTCAAACTCCCCTGGAAATCAATTTTCGAAGTGCACCAGGTCGAAAAGTCTGGCGCTAAATTCATTGAGAAATACCCAGGGTTGTTCGACACCTCAGAAGTGGGAAAGGTGAAAGGCGTGCAGGTGAAATTGCATGTGTCTGATGAGAGCCCTGTTTACCGAAAGGCAAGGCCGGTACCACTGTCAATTCGGGAGAGCTATGTTGAGGCTCTGAATAAATTGGAAGCAGATGGTATAATCGAGAAAGTCACGCATTCAGAATGGGCCTCCCCTACTGTCACGGTAGAGAAATCAGGAGGTGGGTTGAGAATCTGTGGTGACTACAGTGGCACTATCAATCTGCATTCTAAATGCGAGCAATACCCGCTACCCACTCTTGAGGAGCTATTGCACAAATTGGGCCCGGGGTCTAAATTCACGAAGCTGGATTTGTCGCAAGCCTACCACCAGCTAGAGATAGCACCTGAATGTCGGAAGTACACCACGATCAATACCATGCAGGGGTTGTATCAGTACAAACGACTCCCTTTTGGTTTTCACAGCGCCGTATCTATTTTCCAACGGGTAATGGAAGAAACCCTTAGCGATTTGCCAGGATGCGGGGGCTACATCGACGATGTGTTGTGTACTGGTCGTGATGAGGAGATCCATGAGAAAAATGTGGATCAAGTGCTATCTTGCCTAAATGAGAAAGGATTCAAGCTCAATCCTAAGAAGTTCAGCTACATGGCGGATAAGCTAACGTACCTCGGTCATCAGGTAACCGCGCAGGGAATCGCACCCTCGCCTGATCGAGTGAATGCCTTGAAAGTCGCAAAGCCGCCTAACAACGTGAATGAATTGTACTCTTTTCTGGGTGCGGCCAATTCTCAACGGAAATTTGTACCTCGGTTCGCAGAGATTGCTGCACCACTGTACAACCTGCTCAGGAAAGAAATGAAATGGCAATGGAGCAAGGCAGAGGAAGATGCATTCCAGGCCTTGAAAGATGCAATGTGTGAGCATACGCTATTAGCACACTACGATGTCAAGAAGCCAGTCACACTCCAGGTGGACGCTTCTCCAATGGGTCTAGGTGCCGTACTATTGCAAAGGCAAAAGAATGGTGATGTTTTGCCGGTTGCTTACGTGTCAAGGAAATTGACACCGGCTGAATCGCGTTATGCACAAATCGAACGGGAAGCCGTAGCTGTGGTTTTCGGTGTTACGAAGTTCCAGAAATACTTGCTAGGGCGCCACTTCACGCTTCAAACCGACCATCAACCACTATTGAAGTTACTGGGAAACAACGAACCAGTTCCTACACTTGCATCAGCTCGCATCAAGAAATGGGCACTAATGCTAGCTGGCTATGATTATGAGATCAAGTATTTGCCAGGCAAGGAAAATGTCTACGCGGATTTCCTGTCTAGGCAACCATGTGAGAATATCAGTCCGTCTGCAGAGGAAATGGTTACGGTTCGTGTCTTGCTAGTGGAGGAAGATACGATAATCAAAGCAGACGTAGTGAAATCGGAAACAGCTCGTGACCCTGAGCTATCTAAGGTGCTCTACTATGTAGTGAATGGTTGGCCTAGCTCAGTACCCCAATCGTTTCGGTCTTACCACAATAAGAGGGATGAGCTGTCTGCGGAAGATGGTATCCTATTGTGGGGACAACGAGTTGTCATACCCAAATCACTAAGAATGGTATTGCTACGTGATTTGCACACGGAGCACTTTGGCATGGTCAAAACCAAGCAAATGGCACGACGGTACTTATGGTGGCCAAATGTGGATCAAGAGATTGAAATGTTAGTCAAGGCATGTGCTCAATGCCAAGAAAGTGCGAAATGTCCACCTGCCAAGTCGGGAACCTGGTCATGGCCAAACGGTCCATGGAAACGGGTGCATATCGACTTTGCAGGACCATTCATGGGCAAGATGTTCCTGGTTGTGGTGGATGCATACACAAAGTATCTGGATGTAATTGCAATGTCTAATGCCACGTCTGCAACCACTATTGCGGCTCTGCGGCACGTGTTCTCTGTGTTTGGTCTGCCGGAGCATCTTGTTTCAGATAATGGAACCCAATTCACGAGCGAGGAATTCAAGGCTTTCCTCCGTGCCAACGACATTGTGCACACCCTGACGGCTCCAGGCCATCCGGCTACGAATGGACTTGCTGAGCGCTATGTGGGTGTGTTTAAGCAGAAGTTGAAGGAAATGGGTGCAACGAGCGAACCGCTGCAAGCTCGGCTCGACAGGTTTCTGCTAACGTACCGCACGACACCCAACCATGCCGGCAGAACACCTGCGGAGATGATGTTTGGACGCCAGCCACGCACGCGGCTCAGTGCTCTGCGTCCCTCGCAGGTACGTCAACAAGCAAAGGCTTATGAGGACGGCAATCGCGTCAAGCCAGCGTTCACAGAGAGTGACTCTGTGTTTGCGCTGAATTTCGGCAAAGGTAATCGTTGGGTCCCGGGACGAATTGTGCGTGTCCTCAGTGACTACAACTATGAAGTACAAGTGGGTGATGTGTTGTGGAAGCGTCACCGAGATCAGTTGCGTCTACGGTCAGTTCCGGCAAGCTTGAGTGCATCGCTGCCAGAACCACTGTTGGATATAATCGATCAGACGTCACCGTCACCAGTGCTGTCAGACGTAGGAGAGTCGTCACGGGCCAGTGATTTTCCGGCTAGCGTCTCGCCACAGTCTGCTACTGTACAAGTTGAGGCGGATCCTCCTTGTGAGCAGTCGGCTCCTGAAGTTGGTTTACCACAGGTCGAGAATACTCCCTGTGAAACCACTGTTAGACGTTCGTCTCGGCGTAGTGTTCGTCCGGATAGACTGATTGAACAGTTTTGAGCCGTTCCCTGATATGTCATTGCTGGACTGTTTAGCGAACTAGTAATTATTACCATGTACAATAGTGTGCAAGATCCTTGGTATTGCTAATATTGACTGGCGGATTCCTGCATCAGATTATGTTATTGTAGTGCTGTGTCAAAGTTTAAGAATTCACGTACGGTGGATTGATGAACTTATTTTATGTGTTGCTTCAACGATTTTGAGGTATTTAATTGTGGTAGAATATTCCCTGGAACATTCTTGAAAGGGGGCAGTTGTTGTGTATGCAAGTTAGTCATTATATATCTACTACACCGTTTGCTACTGACTGCGCATGCTCGCATATGGTTGTTGTTGTTACTTTACCTGACCAAGAGGAATGTCTTACAAATGCTAGTGTTTGTGTGTGTCAGTAAGAATGCATGAGTGTAATGGAATGTTAGTCCGCAAGGGGACATAACACAAGGAGATTAGGATGGTCATTGTCTTTTTGTGAGCTGCGAACGGGCAGAAAGGTGAGAAAATGTCGGATTTTGACCATTTGTGCTGACCTTTGAATTTCAATGTACATCTCTGTTACTTTTCCTCAGCGCCCAGGTCAACACACTTTCGTCAACACCGGGTTTCCGCACACAATCGAATCACAGTTCAGTTTTACTCCACTCCGGAGAACACAATTTTTCAGACCCATGGAACATAGTAAAATCACAACAGCTACAAACTTGTAGAATCTAGAGCACAGGTCCAACACAACAAGAACCAAAACATTACCACGCGGCCAGCAACAAGTTACATGCGAACAACAACTCACAGAACCAAAGGCACATGCTTCCAAAACCAATACACACTCCGGCCCGGCCGGCCCGTGTCGCATATGCCAGCGATACATGCATAAAAGGAAGTACAGTGAGAAGGAAGTAACGCAGGTCACATGAAAGTGCGTAGCATTCCCACGTGTAAGCTAACACGCACTACAAATCACGTTCACAGGCACAGGGCCTTAGGGGACAACTACAAACTGTGCACTACGCACACATTCAAATACAGCTGTAGACACGCACTGCATAAATCTACAAGTACTCGTACAAACTGTCCAGGTCAGCGACACCTGCAGCATCTGCTGGAACAATGGCACAAGGGAGTACTAAGAGTAAGAAAACGTAACATTCCCTCCCTCATGAGCGAATGTGGGAAAACTGAGCGAATCTAATGCCTATACGCTATTGGGCAAAACCGTAACTTGATACACGGCATTAACAACGGCGAGCATGCCAGTTAATGTCACTCATTGAGATCACTTAGCCGGACTTCGGCAGAGGCTGGGAGAGTCACCTTGACTGCCGACGGTTCCACATCTAGGGGCACCAAGCGGTGGACGCTGCGCTTGTACACCTTCCCTTTGACCTTCACGTCCACTACGCGCACCTTCCCGTCCTTTCCAGGATACGTAGCGACCACTCGACCAAGCGGCCACTGAGTCCTTGGGAGCGATTCGTCCAGCATCATTAGGATTTTGCCGACTGTAACCGATGCACTATCACGGTGCCACTTCGTCTCCAAATTGGCTCGAGCAACAATCTCGCGGAGCCACCTCTTCCAAATGCGCTTCATCAGATCCTGAAGCAACTGCCAGCGACGATGCAGACCCCCCTTCGGGGTTGCTTCCAACGCTGTTGCAACTCTCGAATGGCCAACCAAGAAATGCAAAGGCGTTAGCGGCTCCAGGTCTTCACTTTCCTCCGAAAGCGTTGTCAATGGCCACGAGTTGATGAGAGCCTCGGCCTGCACCAATACTGTCTGGAGCTCTTCTTCAGTTAAATCAGCCTTGTACAGCACAGTCTGGAGAACTTGCTTCATGGGGCGCACGATCCGTTCGAACACGCCGCCGAAATGAGGAGAACGAGGCGGATTGAATTTCCACTCAATCCCTTGGCCTGCATACTCCGATGTGAGGTCGGCATGGTCAAGCTGGGCGACTGCCTCCCTCAGCTCTCGCTCTGTCGCAACAAAATTGCTTCCATTATCAGTAAGCAACATCTCGGGTGTGCCGCGACGCTTGCAGAATCGCGTCAGGGCCATCTTGAAGCCAGTCGTGTCGAGAGAGGTAACCAGCTCCAAGTGACACGCTCGAGATTGCAGACACGTGAACACTGCCACATACCTCTTCTCTTGTGTACGTCCTCGACCTCTCTTCACTAGAAATGGTCCGGCGAAGTCCACAGCGGTGCGGGCGAATGCCAGAAGTGGTCCTTGCGTGCGGAGGTCTGGGAGAGAGGACCCATCCTGGTAGTGGCTGGTTTGCGCCACACCTTCTGACATCCCACGCAGTGGTGCCGATGTGACTTCACCATTTGCTTGCCCTTCACAAGCCAGTAGTGATCGGCGAGATTGGACAGGATGTGATTCGTGCCAATGCTGTGTCGGCATCGCTCATCCTCTCTCCGAATGATCAGTTCTGTCACTCGGTGTCGAGGTGGGAGAATAATTGGCGATCGAAACTCAGATGCCAAGTGGTAAGCCGTACGCAGTTTCCCACTAACTCTTAATACGGGGTATCCACTCTGTTCGTCGATGCGCGGTTGCAACTTGAGAAGAGGGGCACTGCTTGGCAACTCCTTCCCTTTTCTCAGCGTGCTCGTCACTTCACCATAGCTCTCATCTTGCGCACGCATGATCCAATAGTGCTCCGCTCTTTCAAACTCAGCTGGTGAGAGCTCGGGCACGGCAACCTCCTTGCTGTTCTTGATTGCAATCTTCACACGGGCGTCGCTGAGCGTTAGCTGTGGCAGTCGGCTCTTGCGGCGATTGTGTATGGCACGCATGCACCAAGCCGTGACCCGCACAAGACGGCTCCACGAGGAATAGTTGTTTGGACTTAGCCGCAACGGTGGTGACATCATTGCCGTCATCGTGATTTCAGGAGTCTTGAGCATTTGTGGTAGCTCCTTCGGCACAGCTATCCTGCGATCTGGCCATTCGCTCTGTTGCTGTGCCAGAAACGTTGGTCCATGCCACCACCTGCTCTCCTCTGCCAGCTGTGTGACTGTCATCCCACGGGTGGGGAGATCAGCTGGATTTCTGACTCCGGGAACATGACGCCAGTTCCGTGCCATAGACTGCTGTTGGATCTCCGATATCCGGTTGCCGGCTTCCAGCTTGAACTTTCGGCTGGGTGATCGAATCCAATATTGGACATTCATGGAATCGCTCCAGTAGTGGCTGTCGGCTGCTCTCACACCAAGAGCTTCGCTAACGTACGTCCCAAGACGCACACCCAGGACCGCTCCCTGCAGCTCTAGCATCGGAATGGATCGACGCTTGATCGGTGCTGGTCTTGCCTTGGCCATCACCAGGGTAACCTTCGCTGTACCATCTGGTCGCTCTGCTCGGACGTATGACGCAGCGGCGTAGGCCCGTTCTGATGCGTCGGTGAACGTGTGCACACTCAGACCCATCGACGTTGTGCTATCTTGAAAACAGCGATCAATGCGTAGCTGTGTTAGCTTAGGCATCTCAGCAAACCATTCTTGCCAAGCTACCGCCGTCTCTTCAGGCAGTGGGTCGTCCCAGCCGAGCCCCGCAAGACATAGTTCCTGGAACAACAACTTGCTCCTGATGGTGAATGGTGCTAGTTGCCCTCTGGGGTCAAACAGTGATGCCATGCGACTGAGGACGGTGCGCTTCGTGCACGCAGCGGATGTGGGTTCCTGATAGTGAAACGTGAAATAATCTTCGCTGACCATCCACGTTACGCCCAGTGCCTTTTGTGAGGGCTGTCCAGACGACTCTTGTGCCGTTATGGACTTAGACGTGGCCGGCGCGCGGTGCTCCGGTGGAATTGATTCCATCACTGCTTCACTGTTGCTCAACCACTTCCGGAGATGGAAGCCGCCTTTCTTCAGGAGGTCTTGTAGCTGAGACCGAAGACGCATTGCTTTCTGGTCGTCAGGCAAGGACTTCAACATGTCGTCGACGTAGAATCCCTTGCGAACTGTGTCACTGACTGCCGGGTCGTAGTTCGCTCCGAAACGCTCGGCCGTCTCCAGCAAAGCTCTGCCTGCTAGGTATGGCGATGCACGGATGCCAAACGCCAACCTGGTGAACTCATAGGCCTTGACTCCGTCCCCGGTCTTCCAAAGAAATCGGTGATATCTGCGATCCTCAGGCTGTAGTGATACCTGAAGGAACATCTCCGACACATCAGCAATCAGTGCCACAGGGTGCATGCAGAACCGGATCAGTACTGTGACGAGGTCATTTTGCAGTCGTGGCCCAGCGTACATGTGTTCATTGATGGACGTGCCGTTGAAGCGAGCTGCAGCATCAAACACAACACGGACCTTAGTTGTAGCCTTGTCTTCGCGGACTACTGCGAAGTGCGGCAGAAACCATTGCTCACGGCCACATTGCTGGACTTGATCAGATGTCAGCTCCTGAATGTACGCCTTCTGTAGGTACTCCTCCAGCACCTTTGCATAGCGAATCAGAACGGTTGGTCTTCTCTCTAGAGACCTCAGTAGCGAACGCAGCCGATCCTCGGCCTGCACTCGGTTGCTCGTGATCTGAGGACGCGCTCCATTCTGCCAGGGAATACCGACAACGAATCGACCATCTGCGTACACTAGCTGCTGTCGAGTCATTTCCTCAGCATGGCGTTCGTCAGGTGACAGGTAGCTCTCAGCAGACGGTTGCATGCCGACCGCTTCCAAGTCCCAGAAGTTACGGACAAGCGAGTCGAGGCCTGTCTGTGTTAGTTCCAGGGCATGATGGGTGTGCTGGACAGAGCTGTCTTGTATGGCTGAACCGAAACAGACCCATCCCAAGGGTGTGCGCCTTGCAATGGGCTCACCTGCCTTGCCAATCCGTTCTTCCTGTGCACTGTGCAGTGCTGCTGAATTTAGCCCGATTAGGATGTCGATGGCGCGTTGATTGCTTGCAGCAGGGATATCAATGTCTGCTAGATGTGGCCACTGGTGACGCAGACGGCTCCAATCAGCAACGTGCACGTCGCTTGTGAT